CTCTCTCTCTCTCTCTCTGTCTCTCATGAATAAATAAATAAAATCTTTAAAATAAATAAATAAATAAAAGGGTGCAGAGAGGGACAGGAGGAAGGCAGGAACTGCATGGGGAAGTCCTACCAAGTACACTCAGTGGGATGTCTGCTGAGTTACGCTGGGCTGGTCTTGGCAAACCCAGGTCTACAAGGGCTGGAGGTGCCAGCAACTCGGGCCTCGGTGTCTGAGTTAAAACCGTGAGCCACAAATATGTGACTCCATGACTCCATGATGCAAGAAAGGTTGCACTTCCTTTTCTCCCACTTAATTCTGGGCCCCAACTCTCCAACCTGGCGGGAAATTCAACCCCGCCCATGACTGAGCTCCCCTCTATAACCAAGGCCAGGGGAAGACTCCAGAGCCTCACGTAGCACAGAGCGCTGGGGAGACGCCTGAGGTCATCATGCCCAGCCACCAAGCCACCCTGTGCGCCAGCTCAAGAATTTGGAAGCCCAGCTTTCTGCTTGGAACAGGGGTAGAGAGGGTGGGAAGTGACATGCAAGCCTCGTAAATTAATATTTCAGCAACTGTCTTGTGTCTTAGCTTGGGCTGCTGAGATGAAATACCATAGACAGGGGCGGGGCGGGGGGCGGGGGCTTAAACAACATACATTTATTTCTCCCGGTTCTGGAGGCTGGGAAGTCCAAGGTCAAGGTACTGGCCGATTTGGTTCTTGGTGAGGGCCCACTTCCTAGCTCGCAGAAGGCTGCCTTCTCACTGTGTCCTCACGCGGTGGAAGAAGGGCTCTGGTCCCTCTTCCTCTTTTTATAAGGACACTAATCCCATCATGGAGGCTCTGCCCTTATGACCTCATCTAAGCCTAATTACCTCCCAAAGTGCCCCCCCCCCAAAAAAACCCATCCCATTGGGAGCTAAGGCTTCAACATGTGGATTTGGGGAGACAAAGAACATTCAGTCCATAACATCTTGAAACCGGCCTCCGCAAGGCAGCTGGTGTGCAGCCAAGCTCGCGCGTCCTGCAATACTCCAAGCACCTGGGAATGACAGGCAGGGGCGAGGCGCGGGGGCGGCTGCTTCGCGGAGCCATGGTCACGGCCGCTCGGCCCAGGTTAGGCCCCAGCTCAGACCGTCCCTGTCTCCGGCAGTGCTCCTCGACCTGTGGGAAGGGCCTTCAGTCCCGCGTGGTGCAGTGCATGCACAAGGTCACCGGGCGCCATGGCAACGAGTGCCCCGCCCTCTTGAAGCCGGCAGCCTACAGACAATGCCACCAGGAGGTCTGCAATGACAAGATCAACGTGAACACCATCACCTCCCCTCGCCTCGGTGAGTGGCCCCAGGCTGCTGGGGAGGGCGCTGCCGCCCCCAGCCAGTGAGTCCCCCCCTGGGGGGGGTAGTGGTTCTAGAAGCCAGAAGGTGCCCCCCACCCCCACCTCGGGGCTTATCCAAAACCCGGAGAGGCCAACGCCTGTCAGCTCTGTAGAATGTCAGAGGTTTCAGAGGTGGGATTTCATTCTTTGTCATGAAAAAGATGTCTGCGAGCGGCGACCTCAGACACAACACCGAGAGCGCCCAGCTAGGCACTCTGCCAACAGTGAGGAACACAGGCGGATGGCTCCCCGTTAAGGTTTTGGGGCTCCTGTGCATGAGGAGTGCAAGGGGAGGGGCGTTCTTCCAGAAATGAAGGAGCTGGGGTGTCATTCACGAAACCTTGGTGATGTTCCTTAAGCTGATGCTCGAGAAGAAAGAGGTGGTGATAGGTTGGAGTCTTGAATTCAGTGGCATGGGAGGGAGAAGAGGAACATTTAACACGAATTTAATGGTTCCTTTTAACAGTCTCTGCTTTTCCAAATAGAAATCCCTAAGGAATATTTTCCTCCCCAGAGCCCCCTTCCCTAATGCTGGAATGCAACCAGCACAAAGGGGGCTTCTAAGTTGTTTTACTTGGAGGGGGGGTGGTCTTTGAGCTTGCGGAGGGGCACTCGCAAGCTCTGCATGCACAAACCTCCTTGGGGTGCTCCAGAGACCTCCCTCCGGCAGGACCTTCTCTCCGCAGGATGACCCTGAAGGAGATTTAGGCCACTTGCTTGCGCTGTGAGCTTCTGCTTCGATGGGCCCTTTGAGGCCCACTGCCCCATGTCATCCTGTCTTATAAATGCCAGCAGTGGTGGCGTCCTTCGCCAAAAAGTACCAGTGGGTGCTGCTTAGCTGAGAAGCGGGGTGCGCAGTGCCCTTGCCCCGAGGAAGCAGCCAGACTGCCATGCTCTGCCAGGTGGTCAGGTTAGACACAGGAGTGCGTGCCCTGCAGAAAAAAGCGACATCACGTGGCCCTGGCAGGGGGCATATTTCCTCGAGTCCGTGCAAGGCTCCAGCATGTGAGCGAGGGCAGCCCCAGAGTGGGTCAGCCCGCGAGCCCTCTCTGTGCATGCATCAGGATGTCCCCATGCCATCCGTAACCCCTGGGCTCTCTCTCTCCCCACCATCCCCTTAGCCGCTCTGACCTACAAATGCACACGGGACCAGTGGACGGTGTATTGCCGGGTCATCCGAGAAAAGAACCTCTGCCAGGACATGCGGTGGTACCAACGCTGCTGTCAGACGTGCAGGGACTTCTATGCAAACAAGATGCGCCAGCCACCACCACCCTTGCCGAGCTCATGACACGGGGCCCAGCGGTCCCCCGGCGCTCCCGCGCGTGGTCTGCATCCCGATGACATGGCTAGCGGAAAGCCTGCCCACCTGAGAGCACACCGGTCCTGCGGCCGGGACCCCCCCCCTCCCCCAGAGCACACCGCCACTCACCCACAAGGCTGTCCCAGGAATCCAACCGTTTAGAACCTGAGCGTGGACTTGACGTTTGCTGTTAGCGCTTTTGTACTTAATATATTGTTAACAGCCACTGGATGGCTTTCTACAGTAAGGAAAAAATAGGCATGAGTCACAAAATTATTGTCATTTCTAAGGTTCCGTGTACCTCAAAGGGAACACCTCTGACAGACCGTTGTCGAAAGAAAGAGACGTCATTGAGCACTTCCGTCTTGGCTTTCTTTTGACGTTTGAATTCCCGGTGCTTGACGTGCCATGGGGGGACTATCCCCCAAAGGAGACATTTTACATTAAAACAGGCTTTATTCTGAAAGCTGGCGGCACCCTGGAAGGAAGGACAGATGTCAGCAAGCCTCTGCTAATGGCTTCTCCTGAGAGGACCAGGCTGCCGGAGCCCTTCTTGACCACACAAGAGTCAGCACTTTGCCTCCCGGCGCATCTCTGAAAACATGTTCTCTAGATCGTGGGCCTCATCTTGGAAGTCTTGTCCCTGACAGTTTGAATCTCTATCAGCCAAGGATGCCAAGGCCACGTAGTTCTGCATACCACCTGTGTTGGGGAGAATATTCTGGAAGTGTCTGGGTTTGGGGAGGCATTTAATTTCTATACTCTACTGTCCACCGCATCAGGAAACAGAAAGTCTTTCTTCAAGGTGCTATGAAATGGGATGTATGTTAATTTGGGGGATGGGACTGGTTCCTGGCATAAAGGTGAGCTCAGGACAGCTTCATCCGGGGTGTAGGGCCCCTCTACCTTCTGGGAGCCTCTACTCCAGGCAGTACTTCGTAAAGCTTTGCTTCCCGTTGACCTTGGCCATCTACCTAAAGTTGATTCTTTCTAGAACCTCTGGCTACTTCGCCCTAGCCCGGGACTGATTTCCTCCAGAAGCCACTCAGCCTGGTGTGCCAGGATCCGTGGAGGAGGGCCCCCCGGCCAGGATCGCTGCACAACCACCGCGCCTTCCCATAGCCCAGACCTTGCGGGACCCATCACTGTCACGCTGTTGTCATTGACCTATCTTCTTAGTAAGGCAAGGATGAGTCTCAGAAAAGCACGAAGAAAGTCTTTCCCTCCAGCAGCCCCTCAAAACAGAGCCGCGCCCTCTCCAGAAGCCTGGACAAACGACAAGAGTACAGAAGACGGTGGGACCCTGCCCGCTTGGGGAGCTGGGAGGGAGAGACTCTAGATGCCAGGAGGCCTGTTTCGCTCAGCGACTTGGTGGGTGTTTGATGGTGCTTACGTTCAAGGACTTTACCGTGATAAACCCCCCGCCTTTGCCTCTCTGATTGCGGCCAGGGGGCCTCATGTATGTCGATCTTCCTGGGGTCAGCTCCAAGGACTTCCTGATTTATTGGTGCTGTGTTCATGTATCTGCTTTTGTTTTTGATGATGTCACAACTTTAGGGCTAGCTTAAGGCTGTTTCAGTGTATGATTTTTCATATTCCACAGACAGAGAAGTGGTAGGGATGACAAGAAATGTGTGCGGTTCCACTCGAATCAACGAGAAGTATCAAGAAACCTGCTTGAGTGCTGTGTGTAAAAGACTGAAAGAATGCCAGGATGGAGTGATCCGCCCTGCAGCGTAACCCCCCCCCAACCCCCAATGGTTGCACCGGAGCCTGAGCAAAATGCTATCCTCCCCAGCTCAGGCTTGGCCACCAACAGAATCCCACAAACCCCATTCCACAAAACACTCAAATTCTTGGGGAGCTAGGGTTCCGTGTTCCCCCCAGCCCCCAGCGGGCTAAGCTTCACCACAAAACATCAGAAAGATGGCAGCCTCAGACACTGAGGAGCAGAGCCGGGATGGCCAGCTAAGGAAGCCAGGGCAGCCTGGTTTGCTCATGCGCACCCTCGTACCCAAGCTGGGCAAGCCCAGAGGCGAGCCCTTTCCCTGGTGCCTCTGAATTACCCCCCACTGGGTCCCTTGACCGTATCCACTGGATGCATCTGGCAAGGGCCTCACACCTTCAAAAGGCAGATAACTGATTTGGTTCTTATTCAACACCCCGTTGGTTCCCCCAACGTCGGTGTCTTTCTTGACCTCTTTTAGCTCATGCCAGAGCACTGTTGCTCTGAAATCCCCCAGCCCGCCTTCTGTTTATGGCACAAGCAATGACCAATGTCAGCGAAGCCAGCCTGACGCTCTTGTACAGAAGACCTTGAAACCCTGTGATCGCAACAGTGACGTTTCTTTATTAACACTACCCTGTACTGTCACTCAAGTACTGTACCTTTTTGATTGCACGAATGTGTTACTAACTGCAGAGTCTTACGACCTTATGGTGCTACTTTTGTGGGTACAAATGAAACCCTCTCACTTGACCATGGCTTGATATTATCAGAACACAGGGAAAGATCCTCGGCAGCAATAATATCATTGCTTTGCTCTCTTTTCTTCATTTCAGAGTCCAGTGTATATATTTTCCATTAGTTAACTTACATTACGTACTGTACCCGTGGTATTGTTGTTTTACTTTTTGGTGCTGGTTTTGAAAGAAAAAAAAAGAACAGAAGACAAACATTGGACACCACTGTAAATGAAAAATTAATCATTTCATTGGAAGTGAGTCGAACATGTTTTAATAAAATGTTTTTCCATAACAATTTTAAGCTGTCTGTGAAGTAAAAGACAAAAACCAGTCCTCGAGCGCTGACAGAGGGAGGCCTGTCCTTCGGCATGTGGTCCCGTAGCTCGCCTGGAACGGCGTCCCGACCACAGCTGTGGACGGTGTCAGAGGTCGCTGGTAAATGCAGTTCTGGCGGGTGGCTGGCCTCCCCGAGCAAGCACTAACAAATCATCCCGTCCCGGGCCTCACCCCAGTGTGGCTGCAAAGCCCTGGGTGGGGACAGGAAGGCCTGACGGCTGTGCCGTGAGTCTCTCTGACACAGAGCGGCGGTTACCTCGCTCGCAGAGATGCCCATGCCCCTCCGTGGGGGTACAGTGACCCCTGGTGCGGGGCCCCCGCAGACTGGGCCCTGGGCATGCCAGAACGGGCACCTGCTCCCTACAACCTTGCTTTGCCACCTTTAGCCCCCTCCTCCCCCACCCTGCCGACGGTCCATTCAGCTTCCCTCCTTGTGCAGGGGTGAGGCGGAGCCCTGGTCCAGCAGTCCTCCCAGGCTGAGGACACGGCAAGGGTACCACACTGTGGGACCCTGTCTGGGCTTGACGAGGAGCAGGGATGTCACTGCTCCTTCTCCTGGGTGGGGGGAGGCGGTTCATCTCCTTCTGGCATCAAGGAGAAAGAGCTCCCCAGCCAAGAACTTGGAGCTCCATTCGACAGAGAGCGCCTCCTTTGAATGTTGGAGCAGCCCCCAGAAATTCCCTGAAGTAAAGACCATTTGTTTAACAGACAGCAAAGTGCCCACGGCACCCCCAGTTGCCAGGAAACACAAGGCTGTTGCTTGTGTTAATTCTCATTAATCATCAGCCGCCTACCTCTGAGATCTGTTGGTATCTTCTCCTCCTTTCTCTGAGAGCTCTGATCACTCTGGAACTTCCAACAGCCCCGATGGTATGTTGTTTCTCCAGGAGCAGCTACGATTCCTGGGTGGCCCTCAGCAACTTGTTTGGTGGTGAAATTGACAAGCTCTCGCTCAGCGAGTGTTGAGTGGGTTTCTAGTAGGAACCAAGCACTCCCTGGAACTGATGATAACACAACAAAAGACCAGCTCAGAAGCCCAAAGCCCCACTGAGCAGACAAGCCTGGAGCCCCGGACAATAGAGAATGAGCGAGAGCTGCAGGAACTCCAAGAAGGGAAAGGTCAGGACCTCCTTTGTGGATTTGATTGGCCTCTGGACACAGGAAAGAAGGGTTGGGGTTGGAACTTCCATGAACTCTCCAGACCACTCCACTGGCTCGTGCCCCTGTCCTATATTAACACAGTATTCTTGTGTCACCGGACCCTCAGATGCTCCATTGTATCTTGTCCTCAGCAGCCCCTATCCTTTGGGACATCCTCTTCTCGAAGCTTCTGGACCACTGTCTCCTGACTTGTCTCCTCCTTCAGCTCCTTCCTAGCTCTCCTTTCTCAGCCAGCTGTAGGCGAAGGAATGCCCCAGGGTTCAGCCCTAACCCCTATCTCTCTAAATACTTTCTCCGTAGGTCATGTCACCCAGACCTGAGACTTTGAAAACCAAGCATGTTCTGGTATCTCCCCAATTAACATCTTTGACCCTGACCTCTCTCTTGACCTCCATGTTCATACATGACCTCTCCATGTGCACAGGCAATCCTGCGGGAAGCTCTGGGACTGGGATGGCCCTTCAGAGTTATCCCAAATCTGACACTTGGTGGGGACGGCCCACCTCTGCTCCATGTGACATTAGCTGGGGCAGTTCAAAGCCCAAGTAGAGGCTGGGATTATCAGAAGGCTCCCATGCTTGCCTATCTGGCAAACAATGCTGGTCCTAAGAACCTCAGCTGGGACTTTCAGCCAGAACACCTACACGTGACCTCTCCGAGGGGCTGTGTGGCAACCTGAAGCACAATGGCAGGGTTGCAGTGGGCAGCACTCTGAGAGAGAGCATGACTCTCATGAAGCTGTGTCACTTCATGCGACAACTCAAAAGTTACACGGTGTCACGTCCACCATCCTCTAATAGTTACGGCAGTCACAAAGGCTCACATAAGTCCACGGGGAGGGGACGAAGAGTCCACCTCTTGCTGGGAAGAGTGGCAAGGCTCTAGAAGAGCAGGTGAGATGAGAAATGTTTAGCCATTTGGAGGAAGATTCGCATACCCCCAGATGCAGAATACACTCACTCTTTCCTTAGAGCTGCATCCCATTTCAACATCATGGTCAGGGTCAAAGCCCTGGATCTCATGATCTAAGTCAAGTGCAGGTGCAGGTTGCCTTCCTCCTGTGTGCAGCTCCCTCAGGGAGAGCTTCTTTTTTTTTTTTTTTTT